ATTTCCCCCCCTCCCCGTCTTCAAACTGGATATGTCAACGCCTGACGACTTGCCTTGGCCCGAACTTGGCAACGTATCTCGTGGTGCCACCCGAGGCAATCAGGGTCAGAAGGGTGTCTTAGGGCCAGCCGATAGAGAGGGAAGATGCGTGTTGCAGCTGCGAGTCCAGCCAGGCGTCCTCGCAGTGCGTTTGAACCGACAGGCCAGCGACTGGTACCGCACACTCGATAACGAGGTCAACCGCGCCCTCAAGATGACGAAAACTTACTGGCGCAAGGCGCGCAGACGCCAGGATTACGACGCACGAGCGGATCAGGACCACATGGAACTTCACGAATGGCTCCAGCAGCTCAAGGACAAGACCATGTCCCATCTCGAGCTGCTTATGCAGAAGGGCGACATCCAGGGCCCGCCATACACGATGCCGGACGACATCGAACTCACTTTCCTCCGAAAATTTATCGAGCGACAAGCGGCGGGCATTTCGCACAATCCCCGCCTACGAAATCAAGTGGGAGGAGAATCTTCATATACCCACCGCGACCACTCCACCGACTCCTTCACCCCCGAACCCTCAGAGCAGAGCTTCTTGGACCAAACTGGCAGACCCTTAAATGGTGCATTTTGTCCCGCGCTGCTTGAATTGTTTTGCTCATCTATTGCATCCTTTGAGCAGATGATCCGGGTGCTCACTTATCAAGTTCTAGAAATTCAAATTCTCCCTCCTTCCGGACGCCTGAGGGCCTCGCTGCCGAGGCCAGCTCATCAAGTGAGATAAGAATTCCTTCGCCGCTTCGTTGACTCAATGGGGGTTTACAGAGCAAGCGCTCCAAGCAGCACGTGCATCGCTAATGCGAGCCCAAAAAGACACCCAGGACGCCTTCATGCGCTATACATCCTGCCTTGACATCGAGCGACAGGCCAGACAGGCAGTTGCCAGTGCTGAAAAACGACGCGACGACATCAGTACGCATATCCGCATTCTCATAACATGGGAATTTACCCGCTAACCGTGTCATGTCTCTGACGTTATAGTGGCCATTCTGCTCTCTCAGAACCAGCTGCCTATAGGTACGCAGCACATGATTATCCCTCTCCCTTTTCCACCATTGTTGTTCACACTGCTCTTTTTCTCAGACACGAGGTCGAGAAAATCCTCAATATCCGGTGACGATCGACGCAGTCCTCCGAGGTATCCGATGGAGGTCTGTTTCATCCCTGTTTTTGTATCATCTCTTCCGACACTCACGAATCATATAACATGCAGGAGGTGCGCAACCCCGTTGATCCGTTTATGAATGCGAGAGTGCAACAGAAGCCTATGGAATGGCCTACGGATGGGCAGGGACTGTATAATAGCGAGGGGGTGCCGCACATGGAGGTACGCGCTCGTCTCTTGCATCAGGGCGGACAGTTTTCTCATACATGTTACACCCCGTAGGACGGATCTGGGCGGACACGCAAGCATTCTCGAACATGGGAGCACGGTGCTCAACTGCATGGTACGCCCTCGACCTGGTTCTACCCTTCCCCGGCCGAAACCCTTATGACCCTATAGACTCCAATGGTTATTGCGAAGTACCTGTCGGTGCTCCGGATTACATGGAGTATCGCTCTGAACGTCAATACAACCCTCAGGACATGTCGGGTTTGCCCCCCCGAAAACGAATCCATCATACCATGATCCCTGGATTTGATGTAATGAACGGTGCACCTCTGCAGACTCAGAATATGACGCTGCAATCATGACCATATATCTATTTCTACCCCCACTAACGCCTTCTTTTTTCACGATGATACCACACGTTATTCGCCTTGTATGTCCACACTCTTTTATTTTAGATGATCAATCTGCTCTGTTCTGTGTTGTATTTTACAGGCTGCCTTAATTATTAATTACAACATTTAACTACCATTCGTTCGACCACTCCCTGTTGTTTCTGTACTGCGTATAGTTTGTAATTAGGACTCAGCCTTGCAATGGTCATTCTTTTTCGCGTGCTGTGTTCTTCGCGACCTAATCAAATGCAACAAGATTAGGACAGCGAATTCGACAAGCGCACGTTCGCCTATACATAGGGCTATCGCGATCGATATAGTTCCGTTGTTCAAGAAAGGTGTCATCGTACTTTTAGGCACTTACGATTTGAGCAGGATGCATTCAAAGGAAGTCCCAACAGGCGATCAAACCGCTATTCCATCATCATTTCATTGTTTCACTGACTGATAGAATGTCAGGGATGCGTTCTGATGTGGTTTTTCCAAAAGACAAATTCAGTGACTCTCGCGAAACGACGGAGAATTCAGATCAAAGCGCACAAAAACGCAGTGACAATACAAGCTGCACCTGTACCTCTGTTTTTTTCTGTGTTTTGGGCGGCGTTACATCGCTAGGAAACGGAGTTTCACTCTGTCGCAAGCTGGAGGCATATGAGTTATTTTAGGATCATTTCGAGTTTGACGGCAAAGCTCGTTTAGATCACCTTCGCGATGGGTACCTATTTTTAGTGGCAACTATATCCAGCTGGAAAGATAAATCCGTTGGTACATGCTGGCCTTTCGCGGTATGCACATGAACCGGTCATGTCTATGTATTTTGACCGAGAGGGCGCTAGAAATTCTGATTTGTTTGCAAATATAATCTGGGTCGTACAAGGTACGTTAGAAGGCCATCTGGATCCTGAAGCAGTGGGGAAATGGAGCGTCTAAATGGTCAGATCCATGGCATTCCGTGCGCAAGTTCGGCGAGGGGCAGGTACGTCCAGCGTTAGTCTCCGTAGTCCAAAACTCTATCGAGCTGATAATCTGTTCATACGGCTGCGCAGAAAATACTTCCATTGACGGGAGTTTGGGCGCTGATACGAGAACGCCCTGCACAGCCATCGTTTCTCGCGCATTTATCCATAGCCTTGATCGATCGATTGTGTCCCCCCCCCGCTGTGCGCTTCCAGCTCAGCAGCATTATCGCATATCGTCTGATGAAAAGATTAGCGTGTGTTCTTTTCAAGCAGCCTGAAAAAGCACCCAGTCAGTGTGCTTGGATATCACAGGGCCAACCATGCACAGATGCCCGCACCTGCTCATCAGATTAAATTAGTACTTTTAGCACACAAGGCTTTCTATCTATGTACGTGCGAGTCGTGGGTTATTTTTTCCAGAAGCCATGGGACTCTAGACACTGTGTACGTACGAATATCTCATGAACATTGGGGAATAGATATCATTCCGAATATTGTATAAAATTGATGAAAATTAATCCATTTAAACGCCCGACCAGAGGGGTATGTGGAGCCGTGGTTGGGGACGATATAGGCGGCTGTACTACCGGACTGCAATTCCTCACATCTAATCAGGTACTACGCTTCACCGCTGCAGTTGGCGAATGACATCATGGCAAGGTCAATATATGGCTCGTATGCAGTATTTAAACTAACTCATCAGCCCTTCAGCTTCGCGTTCAGCCCTTAAACACCTAAACTTGTTCTTCAATTGTTCCCCTTGCGAGTTGTTCGCGAATTCAGTGAGAAAGCTTGGCGAAAGCCGGCCGGCGCCTATACGGTAAGTGCGGGGAATCGCCCGAGCGGACTTTGTAATCTATCAGAAGCCCTTGCCAAGCGCGCCCACATATGGTTACACAGGTTGTCATTAGCCAAATCCGGAACAAGTGATTGAAGAATCATCAGCCCTTTAGAAATTTCTTATCTTTTGGAATTTCCATTGTCAGACGCTGAATAGGATGGAAAAAAAATAATGGTAAATATACCAAAATTAAAACACCAGGTGAAACCTAATCGTCTCAACGTTTCTCGACGTCTTCATCATTGATTTTCTCTAGTTCTTTTGACAGCGCTTATGCGCCGCCGTGGGATGTGCATGCGCTCAGAATTGGAGGAATGGCCTCCGGCGGTCCACAAAATGCAGTCCGATGGGTCGGCATGGAGCAAGCCGCTATTTCTACTCATGTTTTTTCTCATCATATCTCGGGATTTTATGTGGATTTCCCCATTCTCATGACAAGCCAGATCCAAAGCAGATCTAACATCTGGGATTTTTCGCGTTCGGGCACATGAGCGAAAGAGAACTTCTACTCCATTGTATGCAGGCATTGTTCTGTGCGGCGCATGCACGTTTTCGATGCATCGTATTTATTTTTCTGGTTATGTTCATGATAAAGCACTCTGGTCCGTCAGTCTTCTGTAATTCCATTTCAAATGTTCGGCGATCTTTGCGTTATCTTCATGCTTCATTTTGCAGCAGCACTTTACGTGTAGAAAAGGCTCTTGAGGCTGCGGTTGTTTCGTTATATGCCCTGCGAGATCGGCCACAGCTGTAACCCTTAATGCCTCATGTACAACGCGGCAATTGAGATCCGGCACCAATCATCTCTTAGAAACACCACCTTCAACGACAGCCACTCTCAGCTATTCAACACGTATCCTATTTTATTTACGAAATAGTCTTCTATATTCTCATCAGCCAGTCGTGTGAGCCCCGCAATGGTTCTGTACACCATTGCTCTTCCGGGATTCTGCGAGAAACTATGCGTTTAGGTTGTTGGAACCCCAGACTTCGCCCGAGGGCACTTAAGTATATAAGAATCTGTGAGTAAAAGTCTCTAGAAAACCCGTCTTATTTTGGCTATCTCATTCTCAAATGTTCGACTCACTTGCGCCGATCGCAAATGAGTCTAAAAAACGCAGTACAGTATTCAAACTTATAAGGCCATTTGGAAAGCCTATGTATCGATGACTCTAACGTTTGACAGGAAGCAGCCCAAGAATGATATGTTACACGTTACATGTCGCAAGTCTGCCGGCCATGCATCATTTCGTAGTACACTGGAGCATCATACGTTATGGCGTAGCTATCAGGGTAACCTCCCAACGCCACCCCAAACCCTTGCGCTTCCCAAGACTACGCGTCGCTGCGGCGAATATCCCGCTTATGGCAGAAATTATGCCTGAGCAGTGTGGCGAATTGGCAACGAGACGTCATAACAGTGCCCCATGGCTTAGTTGGTCACGGCGTCCGACTGTTAGCGACTCGAAAGAGTCAGGACATCGAAAGATCGAGAGTTCAAGTCTCTCTGGGGCAGAAGATTTGTTTTTTTGGGGTCGGCTGGTTTGTCGTCGACTGGCGAGGAGGCGCGAAGTAGCTCGGAGGTTCGAATCCAGCATGTGTCGTCCTCACTCGAATTCAATGTGTTTTGTAAGACACACCTGCAGGCAGAACGAGCGTCAATTTCCTACAATGAATCATGAGTTTAATGAATAAATGTTATCTCTTAGGACGCGCCGCTAAACTTACGTGACGGCTGCATTCGAAGTGTCGAATTTGCGAGTTGCAGGCATGTTTTCAATGAAATCTTGCCCTGTCAACTTCGTCCGTTAAGGTAGTTTACTATAAAGGGCGTAAGTCAGGAAATGAATGAGGCGATATGCCGTAATGGCGGTACCTTTTTGGAACGGGTCTGAACCCGTACTGTGATTCCCAATGACCTTTCGGGATGACAGGCGAGCGATACCATGGAAGGTTTATCCAGGTTTTGTAAAGCCACGCCTTGAACCTCTTCCACGCCGAGTCCTTAGGCTGTTTATGGTGATCGTGGCGAGCGTCGTAGGGCGGTAGTTGGACTTTTTCCTGAGTAGACATGATTGTAAGTTGGGTGGAGCGGTCGCCGCGCGCATGCGTCCTTTTTATAGCATCGTTTGTTTCGCTTGATCCAGACTTCAATGGTATGACGCAATTGCTGCCGTCTGCATTCGAGGTTGGGTCTCGATCATACAGGAGCTTGCATATTGTACGAGATGACGAGCAGAAGGCCTCCCAGTGGTCGCCCAAGAACCGGAGGCGATGACGGAAGGAACTGAGAAGCAATGCCGAGTGCTTACGGAAGACTAGCAGATACCAAAACTACTATGGCGGATGCGGCCGAACGAACGCGTTCACTGACCAGGCGTACCTTCATTGATAAGGATGAAGAAGGAACAGATTAAAACTGGCTCGTTATTCGTATCTACACGTTCACCAACAGTAGAGGTTCAGCACTCGGCAAGCTCGCATGATAAATGAAAGTATCTGAAAGATTACTAAAATAATCAAAAGATTACTTTTATCGGGTCTCTGAGTTTTTCTTCTGGGAAGGTAACAAAAGCTTGTATAGGTTAAAATTGTCCAGCCACTTACCTTGCAATTGCAAAAACGACGGCGAATCGTGAATTCGATGTAGCGATTTGGTGGCAATTTGAATGCCAGCTCGGCAGTTGCCGACTCGATGTTCGGGGTCCTTCTCTCCTTCCACAAGATGAACGGAACCTCCATGTTCGAAATTTCACCAGCGTCGCCTACGTCTTGTGCTTATACTGTGACAATTTTGGTCTTTTTTCTCGGCATATTATGTCTTCCTTATCTCCCTCTGCGTCTACATCTGACCTACAAACTAACCTCTTATATTTTACATGCTTTAGGACCATGTCGACGATGCGTTCACAACGGAGAATGAGATCAGAATCCATGGATCTGGCTCCGACGCAGGTAAGCCAGGACTCTCATTGAAGTTGACCGCTACCTATCAAACTCTCTTCATCCCTTCATTACTCACTCAACATGTCTATTCTGGCCCTTTCGGTGTCCCAGACACTCACAGCCGACGTGCTCGTGGAGATCTTCCTATGTTGGCTCGCAGAGCATCCTTTTGACTAAGATAAAGTCCAGCCGAACGCGATGACCGCACCAATGCTGCTTCGTCACATCTGCTCCTCATGGAGGAAAGTTGCTTTGTCTCTGCCCTCTCTGTGGTCCCACCCCCATCGCTGCCTTCGAATTCAATGGGGAATATCCGAACTCTTGCGAGGCTGTAATCTGGGACTCAGAACATCTATGTCGCAATATGAAGCTTTTCAGATGGTGGAGAGAAAGACAGAGCTTGGTGACTCCCTCTATCCGCTTAACCTTGAACCAAAAGCCAAAAGGCACGATCCTTGAGGAAACTCCTTTGACAAACGACATAATCCACTTCTTCATCGAATATCTGTTACATGACTATATCTCGACATCGGGCAATTTTCTATGCGTCTGTTCCGTCGACATGAAGTCCATGGGTCTCACGTTGAATTTCCCAATCTTCGGTCCTTGATAATAAGATATTAGTGTTCACTCTGAAGATGTCGATAACGAGAGCTTTGAAGACGATGTTGAAGAATTCGGAGTAGAAGGCAATGTAGCGACCTCTAGAACTGAAGGCAACAACGATGACAACAATTCCAGCTCGGACGACTTGGACCGCATTATCACCGTGGAGGATATGAACCCCCATTTTTCATCATAGGGCAGGAAGTGATGTTCTCCTTCTCGTCAAGAATCCTAGTAAGGAGCGCACCTTTGACTTACCGAGCAACGAGGAAGACAACAACCTCGACAAATATCCCCAACATCCTCCGACATTTGTGCATCTATCACCTCTCGTTGTTACAATGTGCTTGGCTGGTCTGCGATAATTCGTATATCCCTCGAGGATGTGCTCATTCTTCCGGTCGCTTGATATTTCCTTCTCTCTGCACTTAGTAACCTCCAATGGACCGAATTTGATGACCGCCTCGAGCAATGCCGAAGATGGAGACGAGGAGCTTTGCTTGCCGGAATTAATCTTCTTGACACTCCGTTTGTCTGAACTATGCCGTTTACACTCATTCTGAACATCGCGAGGACCCTTTCAAAGGGCTCTTCAATGATCTGTGTTTTCCATCTTTGTATGGCCCCTCGATATACGCTATAACAGAATCTTCAAATTTTAGGGTTGCCATTGATAGGATTAACAAACCTCTGGCCATGGGCCCGACACCAGCGATCCAGAAATATACGTTCGGGTTGTTCTTTACACTATCTTGGAAGTCCTTCAGGAAAGAGTGGGTAGATATTAAGAGGCTCTCATTGCATGCTCCTCAACTTATGCATGTTGTCCTCGATATATGCCTTTTCTCGAAAGGATTCGCGACTGAGGAAATTATCGAGACGACAGATAAAAGCGGTATTGCAAGGGCGGTGTACTGGTATAAATTCCTTCCATAAGCAGTATTCGAAAAGTGACATCAATCGTGAATCGTTATTGTGAAGAATCCAATGGTCAAGGATGGGCCATACGCTGTGGCGTGCCTCCTGGAGGTGGAGGGTACTGCATTAGAGATTGTCACAGAAAATCGGTGGGGGCTATCGCCATCGACTATTGAATAGGAGCCGGAGTTCCTGAGTTATATCTTATACTTTCTAGAGAGAAGTAGCTATATCTTCATTTGCCGCTCATTCAATAGGAACGAGGACTACACGCGATTCAAAGACCGGCGATTGCCGGTTAGACCATCTTTCGCCCCAACATGTTGATGATCCCAAAACAGCTGTTGAACAGAACGTCCACGTTCCAATTCTCAGTACTTCAGTGGCCCTCTCTTCACTTCTCACCTTACACCGACTTTCTTTCCGTGAAGTCGGACCCGCATCTACGAAGTTCTTCAACGCAAGCTTGGGAACGAAATCATCCTTATGCTATCAGAACCAATAATCAACTCGCTTCCCACCGAAATGCTTGGGGAGATTTTCGTTAGGTGTCTGCCTGATTATCCACTCGAGGTACGCCAGCCCGACCCCACGACTGCACCCATACTCCTCTGCCACGTCTGCTCGTTATGGCGAACAATCGTCTTCGGAACTCCATCTCTTTGGACATGTCTATACGTCCTCTTGCCGATTCGAAGGCTTGACTCTAAGCATCCCACAACCTGGGACCCCAAGCATTTACTTGCGATGGTGGAATTTATGGAGTGGTGGAGAGTCCGGCAGGGTTCGGATTTAGGAACGACATCCATCTGCATTAAATTTCCGCAAGAACAAGACGCGTTTTCTGAACCGGTCGCGGAGGATGTTATCAAGTTTATCGCCCGGTGCATATCATCAGCGAAACATATTGATATCGCGCATGGTTTTTACTTCAGGCTTTTATTGGAAGCAGGACTTGAGTTTCTAAACCCCAGGCCAAACATTTTGATAGTCAATTGCGGAGAGAAACTGAACGAACACTTCATGTACATTATGCCATTTGAAGTCAATATTCCTTCAACTGTTCGACGGCTTTCTATTCAAATTGGATCTATGCCCGCATCGTATGACTGGTCTTTCCTCAGTCACCTATCGCTCGGAGTAGGTATCGATTCGAAGATCTGGCATGCCCTTATTCGGGGATTGCTCAACCTTCACTATGGTGACTTTCATGTTGCCGTCCCCGGCCTGCAAGAAGCGACGTACCATATTCCCCACCACACACTTCCTTTCCTGACCTCTCTCCGCATAAACTTTGACAATGTGTACGACCGAGAAGCAACGGAGCCTCCCTTGGTTCTTCTCTTCCACAATCTACACCTTCCTAAGCTTAATGACCTAACACTGCTCTCTGAGCATGATGAGTGGCGTCACCCAGGCCCAATTGGCGCTCTATTCGAAGTTCAGAACCTGCTGAGGTCCTCCCCTGCGTTGAAGCAAGTCACATTGACGCCGCACTTCCTCTGCTTTGGAAAGTTTTTGCACCGCCAACGCCGATCTGGCGTGAATGTGATGCCGCTCATATCGCTTGCGCCCAGCATCTCTCATCTCCGGCTTCTACTACCCTTCGAGTGCAATGCCAAACTTAGCAGCTGGTGCGATGCCTTCTCACATATGCATTGGTTCGGCTTTAAGCGAGAAAATACCGCTGTGCTCATGATAAGTGTCGTCGTGCAGACGGGCTCGAGCATTTCCGTTGGTGTCGTCAAAGCCATGATCGAGCGCAGGCTGAAAATTTTTTTGATGGAGTTTGAGGGGAAAACGCTGAGCATCGGCTTTGCGGTCTCCTGGGACCAGGAGAAGAAAGAGGAAGGCTTGAGAGCTGCGGGGTTCTTTTCGTGAAGAAAAAAATGATTATCCAAGTACCAGTTACTGTACGTTTGACTGTTGTGGACTAATTCTCTACTTAATCGTTCTTGGGTTAAATTTACATAAGTATTACACTTGTGAATCTTGTCATCCAAGAAAATCTCACCAAACAGTATTTGGAAATTTGCAGCAATCGTG